TTTAAAAAAAGATACGATTTACTGGCGTTTTAAAAGGCATTCCAAATGTGGAGAAACAAATGGCTAACAATATCCCATATCTGTAGACCCATCGTAGATCTGCCATTCTCGTGACCTTTGTGACATTTTATGACAAGCGTACTGCATGAACCCATGAAGAGGATTGCTTCTTTGGCCCAACAGCCCTAGCAGTCTTAGCATCCCTGTGACCCTTATGCCCGAAGGTCTGTTCCCTTTGTGAATCCGATGGGCGCCATGTGTTTTATGATTTAGGTTGCCGTGGACTAAGTCCAACCTGCTACGTCGGCTGCTCGGTTGGTCAGCAAAACGCTTTATGCAAATGACAATCTGCCAGACAATCTGATTTGAAGAGCGGGGAGAAGGGGACTTTAAGCCATATACCGCTACATTTTGCTGCTTAAATCGCTGCCACCAACTATTCCGGAATCGCAACACACAATTTGTATGGGTGTGTGGGTGTGTGAGGGAAAATGAATTTTTTACGGTTTGCGAATTCCGTACACGTTTGCCACCAGGAGGGGCATGCAGGAACACGCAGGAAGCATGGCTAAATCCCCGCAAAACAACGGATAGAGCAACTTAACTCGCTGTCGTACGGTTTTATTTCATTTGAAGGAATTGCATATTTAGCAGAACATTGAAAATCAGCGAGCTGCAAGTGGAGATCTCCCAGTTGTTGGTCTTCATTTGCATATTGCTGAATGAGTATGAATTTTGGCAAGCAGTGGCATGGATTTCCATTTTTCATTTAACTATGTAGATTGAAAAATCAACGTAAGTCAGTCTATAGAGACTGTAGGGTTGTATGAATTGAAAACGGAAATGAAACGGAAACTATTTTGATTCATAAAACGGTGAAAATAACATCATGTTAGGCTATAAAGTTTCTTTAAGACTTGTTTTCCCCTTAAAAAGGAAACCAATTTTCCTACTTACTCTTTCTCTCTTAAAGAACTTAAAGTACTGTCATTTGGTTAGTTCCTATATTAGCCCTGGCATTGGTGTCACCTGTTGGTCCCTTTGACAACTCAACTCATATTCAATGAGGAGGCACACCCAACTGGTGGTTGCTTCTGGGGAATCCTTTGTCGCCTGCCTCACGTGCACTAATTGGCCTGATTTGATAACCGGGCTGAATGCGAGTGAAAGCTCTCTGAGGCAAAGGCTCATAGTTTTCCAAGGGCAAAAGTTGTTGATGCTCGTGCATTGCATTTCTCCTCCAAGAAGCTTGGGTTTTTGTGGCACAATTAAAAAGTTTTCGCTTTTAGGCGTCGGCTAATGGGAAAATTGCACACTCAGTTATGTGTGTTTTCATTTTGGCCGCCTTTGACAGTCGGATCCGCGTAGGAAATTGAAACTCTCATCTTGGCAATTGCGCCGGAGGCAGTTATAATTTGCCGGGCGTGTCGATTCCAGACTTTGTACCCATAGGCATCATTAGCATTATTATGAGACAGCCCATTACCACGATTATTGTCATGGCGGCAGGACAAAGTTTCCCACTTACCAAAAGAGAAAACTTTCCCGCTTGTTTATGAGTGTGTGAGTGCTGTGCGGTTTCCCCATAAACCAGGGCTATTTTGTCCAAAGATATTTGTAGTTTTGTTGCCATTTATTAAAGGGCTGCCAGGCTAGTCTTAAACTGGTTCTAAAAGTATATATTGGGGAAATTCTATGTAAATGCCTGCTAATTTAAGTTAATTTAAGATTCATTTAGTTTTTAAATATTTATATCCAAGCATTGGCCTTCAAACTGAAATATGTGTATGGCCAAAACCGCAATTAATTAAACAAAATATTCAACCGCTGAACCAACTTCACACTGCCGTGCGGGTTATATATAGAAATATAATATTAATAGATTTTCATAAAAACCACATACAAAACCGCAATGAAAATTTCATTCATCACTTGATCGAAATGACAAATATTTCGCTCTTGGAAAGTGAAATGTTGGGTTAAGTGCACTGCAGTGGCACATTGGTAGAGAGTAATTAGGTTCGAGTCTGGACTAATCAAGAATCAGGTGAAAACTATAATGCTTTGTAAGTAAATAGGTGTTATATTAAACATAAACCCCAGCTCATATGCCAACCAACTTAAGTTGCATTCCCTCCCTGTGGTAACTCCTAACTTGGCATTCAAAGTAATAATCAGGTAATTGTGAATCATTACAAGTGCCCTGGGTACAGTTAATATACGCTATAAGCACCCACCTACAGCCTTGAGCATACCAATCAAAAGCAGATTTAATGTACAACATGATGTAGTTGCGGTGAAACCGGAACACAATAGTGTTTCCAATTTGGAAACCAAATGCGACGGCGCTCGCCGGGGATTTTAAACTAATGCCGTTCAGTTTATCATTCGGCACAGTGGGACCTCGAGGTCACATGTGCAGTATGCAGCATGCAGCATGCAGCACAGTGGGCGAACCGATAATCTGAACAGAACTCCCAGGTATTGCTGAACTTTATTTATAGCATACCATTGTGCACAGCACTCCATTATGGCTGACCACCGGTGGTGCCACCTGCCACCTGCCACCGAATCACCCCCTTTGCTATACGGAATGTGTGTCCGGGTCTCTGGGGTCACTTAATGGCGCCACGTCCATGTCCATTGCAGTGTCTGTGTTTGCTTAGCGTCTAGCAACTCCCACGTCGAACGGCTGTCATCAACGTAATTATGCTGTCAACAAAAAGGGACGGACAAAAAAAAAAAAAAAACGTGAAAAAGAACGGATGGGCATAGTCATGGACCTGAGAACTGGCCAGTTCGGAGCTTGGAGAGCTAAGAACCCACCAGGTCATCGTCATCATTATCAGCTGCTTGAGGGCCAAAATACGACAAGCAAATGGTATTAAATGTTTAGCACGTCTTAGCCAGCTTGCCTTCTTGTTCTTGGCCAGGCCATCGCCATTGGAGATACGGACTTTGGACCCTGTTTATCGCAGCTCTCGTGCAAATATTTATTTAATGCTCATTGGCACGCACTTTACACGTCTTCTGGCTGACTGCCTAATTGTGCGTAGAGCGTTTAACAATTTTTTTGCACTTCATTTGCAGCTGACAAAAGACCAAATGCGAGTAATTAATAGAAAATATAAATTAACAAAAAAAAAGAAAGTAATCATTGATTTGCAGAAAAAACCGGTGCTAATCTATATTAACATTAGAGTTGTGGCAAAGAAATTACAAGGAAAGTCTAGTTTGCTTTCATCTAGTGCTAAGTGAATCAGAAAATTCATAGAGCTTAAAATAGTTCCTTAAGGCCACCCCTTGAGATTAAGATTGAGCTAAACACTGCAGAGAAATTTCTATAAAATAGTAAAAAATCGATATGGAAACGAAGAAAAACTCTTGAACTTGGTAAAAACTCTAAGAACAAACTAAGTACTAGTAATTGCTTGAAAATGGAAAAGGAGAGCTGAAATTTAATGACTGCTTTCCGGGAAAAATAGTTAACGAAGCAAGCAAGAGCTTACAAGAACAAGATATTTAATACTTGGCCAAGGGCTTAGCCATTGGCTTTACATGCTACGATAATCTATATTTGTTCTTAAAGATTTATCAAGCAATTTTCTGCAAAAACTAAAGCTTACTAAAAGCCATATATTATTTTAATTTAAAGTTACCAAAAATTGACAGAAAACAAATGGAAATGGGGGAAAAAACACAGAGACAGGTAATTTAATCTTTTATTTTTACCAGCTGAGTAGGTGCCACTGGTTATTTTGTGTCATTTTGTGGCTGCCAAAAGTTATCTTCCCTGAAATTACTCTGCCCCGAACTGGATTTCCAACATACATAATTCCGTGTGGTAGGTGAAAGTTTTACATGTGACTGAGTAAAAAAAGAAGAAATAAAACAATTTTAAATGACTCTGCACAACGTCACCAGAGAGCAGGGACCAAAGATATGGAGTGGATATGAGGCTTTGGGGCTAATCTGCCAGACATCCCACACCCCCTGCCTGGATAAGTACTTGTTTTGCTGGGTGTGACACATGTACAACATTTACTTTTGCGGGAGAGCGCACTAATCTGCAGATGTTTTGTCAACTATTGCCGTACGTTTTGTCGGAAAAGCCAGCCAAGCATAGTTGATGTATGGCTAGGGAAAAACTTATGGCTTCCTAAATTTTTTCGGTTGCTCACCAAGTTATCGGGCCTTCCAGAAATAAGATGAATGTCCTGCTGGCACACCATTCTTCCTCTTCTTCCTCCACCTTCTCCTCTCATTTTCACACTCATCAATTATGATTGTGTTTATCTTTCTTTCAACATGAGGCTTTAATGTCAATGCCTAGCCTATGAAATCTCTACTAGAAAGGGGTGCTTAAAGTGAATGGCTTGCGCGGCGTATGCGTAATATGCAATCTCTTAACAGCTTTTGAAGAAACCATAACCCTGTATTATTACCAGCAACAAAATAAATGTATTTTTAATATGTATTCCTTAATATTTATTTTCAATAAAACTCTTCTCGTCTCGCATGCCATAATTTTTAATATCATTTTGCCGCCGAGTGGCTAACAGATTGGCCAGGCAGCTGCTTACAGAGCGCTGTTAAGAAATTTCCCAAACATCAGCTAACAGCATCCCGATGTCCGTTTGCCAACAGTCGGAAAACCTCCAATCAGTCTTAAACGCGAATCGAAAGGAAACGGTTGCTCCTTCGGCCAGTGGTTGGTTAAAAACAAACAAAGATACAAAAACTTAAGTGATAAAAAATTAAATTAAAAAATATTTAAAAATTTAAAGAACTAAATTTAGTATTTTTAAACAAATAAAACCTTTAAAAACTTCTTAAAAATAATAAAACAAATGTTAAATATATTACATTTGCTGTTAAGTTAAAATACAATAACAAAACTTAATAAAAGAAAACAAAGTTAAGACCTAAAAATACCTTAAAAATAGTTAAAAACCCATAAAAAAGTGCTAAATCTTTGTGCCATAAAGTAAATGCTAACCTTAAATATTTTATAGTGAAAAAAATAGTTGAGTAGCAACATGAAAGCTGCAAATAAGTAAAACAAAAGGTTTATAAAGTTACATAAAAAGTAGAAAATGTTTTTAAATTATTAAGCAGCAAGAGTCTTAAACTTTAACAGAATAAAACATAAATTTCCTGGCTAAAAAATTAAAAAATAAAAATAGTAAGTTTCTACATGACTTGTGTGCATCGTAACTAAACTATAAATGCTAAATTTTCGACTCTAGGCAAATGCAAATCTATAAATCTCGGTAGGCAAAAATATGGTTCTTAGCTGGCTGGCTTATTGCTATTGTTGTGAGCTTGTTTGCACCGACTTAAATGCAACAAAGCTGATTTATGACACAGGCCACGAGTTCTGGTGTCTTGTGTAGGGGGCAATCCACAGAGAGGTTAAGGGGCAAATACCGAGGGCGGCAGAGAGTGTGGCAAACAAAAGGAACGTGGCCCAATGTCAAAGATGGCGCTCGGTTATATATGACTTACTGATGCTTCGCCTTTGTCGGCGCCCGAGGTTTTGTTGCTCTTCGGCGGTGACAAATGTGAGGGAGGATAGGGGGATAGGGGATAGGGGCTGGGAGCGGGAGGGGAAAATTAATTTGCCAGCCCAAGACGAAAATCTAATAAAAATCAATTATTCGGTGAAATAATTGCCCGTTCAGAAAATGAAAATTCAAAAAACAAACAAAGCAAGTCCTGGAATGAATGAGCTTTGAGTGCTGTAAAAATTAATGGCACCCAAGTTGGATTTCGGTAAAATAAATTGGCAAAAGTCTTGAAATAATCAATGAGCTTTAAGAGGTTTACAAGTTCCTTCAAGATCCCTTGAGAATCTATATATATATATATAAATCTTGACTAAAATTAATTATCAAAGAGCTAGAGTACAATGGCAATGACACGAAGGCTTTAGGCTTAAGGCAATTTAAGAAGTATGAGTCTACTAAATTTTCGCAGCATTTACTGACTGCAGTTTTAATGAAGCTTCGAATGAGTTCCTGGAATTTTCATTTCGTTCGTTTGTTTGCAAAACGTGCGTCGCTTTTCGCTGAATCCCAGCTCATTAGTCACAGGTCATTGGGCAAAATAATGAGAACGAAGAGCCAAATGGCATTATACCCTAAAACCACAAGCTTTTCGGTTGCACTTTCCAGGTAAAGTTCTTCCCCCCTATGACCCCTTGCTGGCCTTGAGTGTGATGCAATAATTATAGCAGAGGCCAAAGCCAAAAAGAGATAAACTGTTGTTAATAAGTTTTAAGCCCAGTTTGGCTTTAGTTATTGTCGCAATTTTGTAGAAAATGCGACCGAAAAAGATTATGTGGGTGTTTGTCTGGATAAGTTTGTGAACTTAATGCCTCGGAAAATGGATGGAAAATGAGTTAAAAGTTTGTTTTGACCAGACCTTTTTTAGGTTGGGTCAGGTTAAATAGTTTCCCATGAGGATTAAAGAAATTCTCAAGAAATTTGGTGATGGATTACAAACCCTTAGCTACCGTTTAGTTTTAAAGTGTAACTTTTACTTCAGAACTTAAATGTCATAACTGGCAATTTTGTGCTGATTAAATTGAAAAATGGTAATCACGTAGTCTCTTGGCCATTTCACACTTCTTCCAGAGACGGAGTCCTTTTCCCCCTCCGGCCCGGCTTACTTAATTAAAATGCCCTTTGCGCCTTCACACAGCAATTATGCGAAGGCGTTTCCTATTTAAAGTGTTGAAAGTATATTAAATTCAGACGAGCTGCCCGATGTCCTGGGTCCTGGGCACACACACACACAAAATGCCATTTGCAACATTTTCATGCTCGAAGGACTTTCGGCCATTTAGGACAGGATCGAAAGGAGGAAGGAAGAAGCAGGAGAAGCTCCCACACTTTAAGGATATTAGGATGGGCAGTGAGGCGTGGCCAGGGGAACGCCCTGTTGTCACTGGATATGCATGATTGATGCTGGACCCTATCATAAATTGAATATGCCCCGGCCGAAACCATTGCTTTAATTAAATTTTCCATGAGCAGATTAAGGACAATAAGTGCCCTAGTGCAAATTAAGCCCCGGGGCCTGCGAGTGCGTGAATAAATAAGCCGAAGGAAGCAAAGTTTGGGTCTCACAAGAATGGCGGGGTCTCCCGGCCGCCATTAATATTTATTATTTCGGCTTTCTTTCGGCGGTTTTACGGCTCTTTAAAGCCATACCCAGCTGTCATTAAATGGTAAATTATCTAGAAATGTTTTCCTCCCTCTGGCACGGCTTTAAGTTAACATCATTTGAGTTTTAAGCTAACCGAAATTATTTTTAGCTCAGAACCATAATTGGCTAGTTGGAAGTTTGGAGAGCCTTGCTAAAATCCCTCTTGCATGTGCATTTTGCATTTGATTGTGATAGGATTAGGTTGAGTTTTGTTTTTGGTAGAGCCTGCAGTTGGTTTCTGGTCTTTGGCACTAATCGGAAGAGAAACATCCGGCCCTAATGAGCTGAAGTCGGCAACCAAATTGCCATACAATTGGACCTAGGAAGGCCAAAATGGCTAGAATGCGCTTTTGTGTGCAATCGTAGATATACATTTTTTATGGACCCTGACAGCAAATTTGAGTGCTTATATAAGCATAAGAGATTCCCTCAGCAAGTGCTTAAATCCGCATTATTTATTTATATATGTGTGTCCTTTGATTTATGAAGCTTCTGCTGGAAACTCCCCTCCCCATTACCCACTCATATTTATTTTTGCCTTACAAATACGCGACTCATGGCTGGAGTATATATATATGTGAACATGGAGAACATAGGAATATATATGGCATTATCCTGGCTAGAACTCGTAGATCAAGAGCTAAGCCAAAGTGGCTTAGGCCACATCCGCTGTTTTTCCAGCTTTTCCTTCGATTGTGCTGCCATTATTTATTGAGGGCGTGCGTGGAGCGTGTGCACTCGATAAACTTGAATAATATGGTTAATTATAATCGCAGTCTGAGTTGAGATGAGTGATTCCCCCAAAGGATGTGTGTGTGTGTGAATATGGCCAGTCTGCCCTCTTGGGCCACATTTAATTAGTAAGCTTGGCAGTCAACTCAAATGGCTGATAAGCCGAGGCCAAAAGGCCAGCCTTAACTGGCGATGTGTGCGTTTTGATGGAAGCATTCCGTTTAATGCCGAATCTTCATGGCAAATGAGCAGGAATAAGCTGCCATGAACCAATATTTGATTGCTCGCAATTATAATCCTTTCATTGTCTATTACATTCAGTTCGCTTAATTAAGATTTTAGCTTAAGCGGAAGCTTCAACAACCAAAGAGTGGTTAGAGCTGGCCAACTTAATATTTGAGTTAAGAATTTAAGAGTGATTGTGGTTTAATTTTTGACTTAAGCGAGATTTTTATTAAAGTTAAAACTACCATTCCTTAAAATATTTAATTAATTTGCCAAATATGCTTTGCCTGTACATTGTTTTTAAGCCTCCTTACCAAACATTCATCATCAGGAATGGGGTGAATAAGACCCGGGGGCTGTACCAAACTCCAATTAAAATGAGTTACCAAGTGGAGCATGCAGCGAAACCGACCAATTTCAAGCACAATCAACTTTAACCTCCTTCGTTCAGGAATCGAAACGACGGGGCGCAAGACAAATGGAAATGACTCCCGCTGGTGTAATCGTGGCATTCGTGGCAACATTGTGTGTGCCCCAGTTGTCGAACCGATATCTTTCCCGGGTAGGAGACTGTTCGGGGGTCTATCTGGTGCACGCATCATTTGCTCGGCATACGTACGTGAGTGACAACATTAAATAATCCATTTAATGTGGCGTGTATATCATTTCAAATGCTATCAGTGCCAATCTCCATATACACAGGCACAGCGTACCGCCAAAAAAACACAAAATCAATAAACAAACAGCCTGCTCTGTCAACAGGATGAGGCAGAGATCTCGCTGAGACTACGAGGACGAGGATTAAAAAAGACCAGATATGGGCGGCATGTTTCGGGAGCCAGCATGTTTTGTCTGGCAGCCCAAGGCTTCTCCTCCTTTTTGGCCTGTCTTGACGGTTTTCTCAACTGCTGACAGACAGCACAGTGGGATTGATGTGGATTGAAAGGAGGTTCTGCTTGTTGCCTTCAATGGGAAAACTGAAAACTGAAAACTGCAAACAGAGATGCTAGATTTTCTCCTTTAAGATTCGAGGCTAGTGCTAGTTAGTCTTTTCTCTTATATTTTTTACTTTCATTAATTTCGCTAGAACAAACTCAGATAAAAGTTAAGCACTGCTCTTTTAAGATTAAATGCTAGCGAACTAACATTAAAGGCTTAAGGAAAACTGGGAAAACCCTAAAAGTCTGAGAAATCCTTCTTCCACAAATCATTTAAAATGTTTTCTTTCTGGTAACTTTTTCCCAGAACTCCTGCTCAACCGAATTCAAACTGTGAAAGGTTACATTGCTGCCAAATGTTTGTGAAGGTAACATTTTTGGAAGCAAGCTTTCTAGCTGAAAATATCTTTATGAATTTCCAGGAAAATACTTTGGTGCTGTGTGTGACACAAGACTGAGGAAGATTTAATAGATTTTCATTTAATTAAATGCAAATATTCCTCAATAAATTGTGTGTGAGCTATCGATATCGATGTCACCTTTTAAATTATATTGAAAATAGTGCACTGCAGATTGCAACAGAAGTTGTATGGCTTTCAGATAGGTAACTATAAATAAAATATGAATTAAGTAAGCCTTGAATTAAAATTTTATATAACTTCTTATGCAATATGTGGAAATTCTTTCCCTTACAAGGACTAACAGCTTCTCACAGGACGAATTAATTGTTCATTGAAACATCCTTCTTTAAGGGGACAAGGTATGGGTCTACCTCAACTGTGTCGTGTGTTTTCCTGAAGAGGCGTTGCCATGCCTTTTACCCCTCTCGGTCATGTTTATGCCATATCTCTTTCCCCGACGATCCCGAGTCAGTGTTTTGTTTACTTATTCATTTGATAAAGTGAAACGGAATGCGGAGACCGCGTCCCACTTCAATAAGCATATGATTGCCGGCTTGACTCGGGGAATGGCAGTTGGAAGCTGGTGAAGTGGTGAAGTGCCGAATGGTGAACTGGTAGGTTGACTCTGGGATCTGCTGGAATGCGAAATGTGCCTGAGCTCATTTCGGTCTGTGTAAAGCAATTTCCGTAATGAGTCCTCGCTCTCTTGCAGAGCACTTAAAAGTATTTTGGGGGCTGCCTCCTTGCCTACTTTCCTCTTTGCGTTCGACAACTTGTCTTACGTTGCCTTGCCTTGGCCTGCCTGCGTTACGCATACGCCCTGTGTTCGTGTGTGTGTGTGTGTGTTGAAAATTACTTTCGGCTTTGTCGGCGAAACGCGATTAATTTTGATTAATTTGCCTTGCTTTTTCCGCACTTCAAGTAATCTACTTATGAAATCTTAATACTCAAAAGATGGTTTTCCATTTTGCACCATGTGTTATGGTCGAATGTTGTTTTTTGAGAAAAATTAAAAAACAAAAAAACAAATTAATTAAATGGGAAAACCGGAAGTGTATATAGGGAAACAAACGCGGCATATAAACGCATTGACACAGCATCAATTAACCCAACTAGGAGCCCCGCAATCGACTTAATTACTTAATTTATACCGACCTCCCGCCTTCTCACTTGCAAAATGGGATTAATTTGTTTACTACTGGGCCGGAACAGCCGCGAGGAATGCCGCCAGTATACACAGCTTTATTGCCGGGCAAAACTGTCGGCCCGAAAATTCCTGCCGGCAAAGGACATTCGATGGGGCAGAAAATGTGGGTGTTGGTAGCTGGGATGTGGGAGTGGTGTTGGCGCGTGAGCCACATCTATTGGCGCCGCTGCTGACCAGAAACTTTTCGACTGGAAAACTTGAATAAAATCACACAGAACTTAGCACTATTTTAGTTGGCCATGACTGAAAAGAAAAACTGAAGAGGATAGGGGAAAGAGGGCAGTGGAATGTGGGTAGAGTAGAGCGAAGAGTAAAGAGTTAAGAGTTCTTCAGAGTTGGCAGGGATATTGGCGATTTATGTGGAGAGTTGCCAAGCTCTCTCACTCTGCTGCCGACTAGCTGACAGTAGAGGTTATAAAGTGGTGATGTTTTTAAGGCCAACTTGTAGAGCAAGTCATAAAGCCATCGTTGACCTGGCCAACTGTTAAAGACAACCCAAAAGACAACGATGATGTGCATGAATAGAAAATTAGCTGCTGCTTTCCTCTCCTTTTTCCTGGATTCACGCGAGATTTACGTTGCTTGCTTTCTTTTTTTTTTTTTTTTTGGCTTATGCATGTTGGATGCCACTAATTAAAAGTTGGCTTAAAAGTTTTCCACGTTCCCTGTTTGTCACTGGGGTGCTTAAAATCGTATTTGAAATTTTTTGTTTTTCCTCTTTTTTTGTAGCTTTTCTCGAAGTCGACAAAGTGGAAGCGCACAAAATAAATGTTCCAACTTTTTAATTGGCAAAACAATAAAAGTGATAATAAATGAAATTAAACGAGTAAGATGCAAGGCAAAATGAAACAAAAAATGAAACAGTGCCAAAACTTTTGGCCAAGTCCAAGAAATGGCCGACTTAATAGCGTGCGGCAGAATAAATTACATTTCACGCCTTAATTTTGGATCTACACGGGGAATAAATTGTATATAAAATCTATGAAATCATTATAAGTCTTATTAAATACAAAAACTAGGCGAAAAATAAGCCCTTAATTGCTTTTTTATGTACTTAAATCAACATAAAGTAGAATGCTGATAAAAACATAAACTTAAAAAGGTTTTCACTACAAAAATCTCTAAAAAAATTTCATTTTTAACCCGAAAGATAGCCTTTTCCCTAGTGTATTTCCCACAAAGGGACTTATTAAAAGGGTCCTAGCATCGCACCACTCGTAAATTTATAGATTTAATTGTGGTTTATTTTGTTTTTTCTTTTGGTTTTTAGTGAAGTACCAGCAGGCCATTGACTGACTGATTTATGAGCTCATTATAAATTTTACCAACACCCGCAGGCGTGTTGACAAATGGCCGGGCACACATTGTTAATATTTAATGGGAAATTCTTGCGCTGCGGCCGGATTGCATATTCATTATGGATAATCACGCTTTAAGTGGTCAGCCGTCGGTCGAACAATCCAGTCGCGTCACGTGCCAGCCATTATGGCCGAGTTAATAAATAATATTTCAAATTGAGAGAGAGAGCAGCTCTTGACTATATATAGGGTTAGGCGTATGTTCACTTCTTCCATGTGCTCATTAATTTTGCATTTTGGCGCAGCCCTTTTTTTGTTAGGGGTTCTTGTGCATAATTTGAGCATAAAAAATCATGGCCAGAAACTGTAACATGGCCATTACCTGAATGGTTGGCTGTCTGCATGTGTTCACTTAGCCCCGAAAAGCATTAAGGGTCAAAGTGTTTTTTTGGTTAGTCCTTGGGAGGCAAAGGCAGCAATGGCAGCAAATTCTTTGGAAAATTTTAATAAATGAGATTTGTTTTTTCTTTTCGAAGCTTAAGCCAAGGGAAATGCAGAGCGATTAAGCGAGAAAGAAATGATAAATTCAATGAAGTATGCTTTCAAAAATGTTCTTCTATCCATTTAGATTTCTGCTTAGCAGTCTATGGCAAATGTAAACAATTTCCAGTAAGCTCTTTTCACACAAATGTGAGCAAACAGAAAGTGCGTAGGCATTAAGCTGTCCAGTGTCCTGTGTCCTGCGTCAGCAAATAAGGATATCCTGCTTGAATAGATGGCCAAAAGAAGTATTTTCTATGGAAAAATGTCATTTGCCGGGAAATGAAATGACTACTAAAAATACTCATCCAGCTATAATTTTGAGAAGAGCCCCTAAGCGGATGTTTAGTTGCAGGAGCTGACAATCTAATCAAAGTATTTGTGTTAATTATAGAGGGGCTAATTAGATAACAGACTGCCTGACAAAAGGGCTCAACTAACTGGGCCAAAACCAATTAGCCACTTTGTCGCCGCTTAATGAGCGGCCCTTTAATGGCTTTCCGATGGACTTTGGGTGGTAGCTGGTAGCTGGTAGCTGGTCGCTTCTATAGTTATGGTCCAATAAGCCATAAATGGCCTTCGGCTTATGTTTGTTTTCAATTTTTTTTTGCATATTTATGGCTCATTGCTTTGGCCAAATGTTTTCACAATTAGCCGCAGGCAAGTACAATTTACAGCATCTTTAAAGATTTGTCAACTGCCTCCATTTAGTTAAGCTGGACCTAATATGCTGGGTCAGAATAACCTTTAATACCTTTCCTAATATATATTTTGGCACATCACCACAAATTTGTTGACTTTGGGCAACCGAAAATAGCTACATAGGATTTTGCCGCCTTCCGAAAGAGAATTCGGACACATGGCCCAAAATAAGTGTCAACTGCCATGTGAAAATAGACATGTGTGTGTGCTTGGGTGTGTGTGTGGGCTGTTGAGAAGGGCTGCCACAAATTGCCGAAACGTGGCCATAAATTAACGGGCGGCGCAACTAATGAAAATGTTGGTCCCGGCAACTCTGTCCCAACTTGCATCCCAAAAATTTAATTAATCTCATCAATTTGGCCCGTCAGACATTCAACCAAAGGCCATTGGGGAATATTCGAATGAAAGAGCGATATAAAAATGAATTGCAAAAGATGAATATTCAATAGGGGAAAAAACTGTATGAATCCATATTATTTAGCTCAAAAATAAGAAACAATTTTTACAGATTTTTATTAGAATTTGTTTTGATATTTCCATAAACCTGATGGGGGAATTGCAAATAGAAACTAAAATGCATATTCATAGAATTTGTTTATCAAATAGTTTATTGTAATCTACTTTGGTTTATAAATAATGCAAACAATTTATAGATTTTATTTACAAAAAAAGGTGTCAAGAAAGCTGGTAAACCTTCGATAGGAAATAATTTTGATAAAAATGTAAAAGGTAATACAACCCCTTAGAAAATTTTATAAAAATTAACAAAAATCCTTCACCTTTAAGGTGTTTATTTTTCACGTTTTTCACCACAATCTCTCCAGCCTTGAATTTCCCAGTGAGGGTTTTAGCCAAACGTGAAGTGAAGCCGTAAAAATACAAATGTCTGCTCATTTTTATGCATATTTTCACTGCTCATTAAACTCGCTTAACTACCAACATTTATAATTCACTTTCCCTTCCGCTGCTGTTGTTTTTTTTTTGTATTTTATGCTATTTATATCCTGGCTAACTTGAGTCTCCACTTGCGTTTTATTTTTCAGTTGTGCAACAAAGTTGGCTGGCCATAAAAATGCTGTGGACGGGAGTGGGCGCAAATTAGCAGCCACATCAATTTCAGAGCCGCTACGAGTCAAACTTAATTAAAACGCGTGTTGGCCAGACAAATTTTCGGACGCTGTCGAGACTTAATAGAAATTTAACCAACCGCTCGTGCCGCGTTCAACAAATGCGTTGGTTTGGCCTTCATCTTCCAGGCCATGTCCATCCATGTCCATGTCGATGTTCATGTTGATGTTCATGTCCGTGTTTGTGTCCTTGCCGTACTGATCGCCCACTGAAACTGAAGCTGTTGCCGAAGAGTTGCCCAGAAGCCAGGATGCAACCGCTGGTGTTGCTCGCGTTGATGTTGCTGCTGCAACAGCAGCAACAACCATTACTGGGGGCCAATCTGTCCGAGGAGCAATTAGCCAGGCTGACTGATGATGGAAGGTCACCAGCCGCATTAAGCGACAATTTAAATTCAACGCTAGTACCTGGTAAAACCATAAAAGCCATTGAGCGACAGATGAAATCTGCAGATGAAGTACCGCCACCGATTGCCGCCACGGCTCTCGCGGAAAAGTTGCAAGTGACACCTGCAAACCAATTACCTGTGAACACGCCGCCAACCTCTGCTGGCCCAACTATTCACTCGACTACTAGAGCCCGGTTTCCGGATACCTTTATGGCTGCCACAATGGTAACCGGAAACCAGAGTGAACAAGGCGAACTTAAGAGGATGAAAAGTGCGGCAACCTTAGAAGCAATCAACGCCACAACTTTAGTTCCAAAGGCGGCAGAAGCAGCAGCAGATGTGTCAGTAGCAGCAGTAGCAGTGGCACCACCATCAGCAGTAGCAATAACTGCAGTAATAGAAGCCACAGCAGCAACAGCAACATCGCCGACACGGGAGCAACACATGCTGCTACGTGGCGCCACAGCTGCGCAAATGGCACGAATAAATGTACCAGCAGCAACAATAGAAGACCAAATTGGAAGAACAGTGATTCCGAGCAAAACAAACATAGCCAGAACAGAAGCAGCAGCAGCAGCAGAAGCAGCAACACCCACATCCACTGTCACACCAATGGCAGGAATAATGCCTGGAAAAACAAAGCGCAATTGGGAGGACGGGGCCAATAAGAGTGTTCATAGAGACGGAATAAAATTCAATCCGGATGCGGCACTAAGCCCTGGCTATGTAAATGCCACAGAGGCGTGGCCAGAGATGACAACTGACAATATAGTGGAAGTGGCAGTGGCTGTGGCAGTAACTGGGGTTGGGGCTATAGAAGGGGCAACAGCAACAGCAGCAACAACGGCAACCGCATCAACCATATCACCAGCACTAACGAGCACGGCCAGGACCAGAATTAGTGGCAAGACGATGCCCACGCCTCGGCTATTGGGATCGGGGGCGGTGAATGTGGCCCAGATATTGGCCAAATCCCTAGACAGTCCGCCACCAACCTCATCCTCAGGCTGGCCAGTTAAGCATGCCGCCGTGCTGGAAGGCGATGTGATCCTGGGTGGGCTGATGATGGTCCACTCGCGCGAGGACAGCATCACCTGTGGGCCCATAATGCCGCAAGGTGGCATCCAGGCCTTGGAGGCGATGCTCTATACTTTGGACCAGGTCAATAAGCATCAGCTCCTGCCGAACGTCACACTGGGCGCCCATCTGCTGGACGACTGCGACAAGGACACCTACGGCCTGGAAATGGCCGTTGACTTTATTAAAGGTGAGTGAAAACTTCTTTGATCTGCTCTTTAATTAATATGCAATCTGATAAGTACACAGGGATATCGGAAAAGCTTTATTTTCCTTATTAATAACGTTTTTCGGTGAATAAAGGAAGATTTTTTAAGAAGAGAGGAGGGAGAGTCGTCTGTATAATTATGAATATTTGTAAATATTTGTAAATTTACATTTCTCTTTAATTATTATAGACTTAAAAATTTGATTTTTGGCAGGCCTTCTTGATTTTTGCAAGTACTCGTAGGAGAAGGACTAAACTTTACAAGATTAATGAGCTGAAATTGCGGGAAGGTCGCTTTTTCTTTTTGACAAATTCACCTCCAAAAAGTGTTTAAAACTTCTTCAAACAATTTGTAACTTTGCCGCTTAAAAAATTGTCCCATTTTCCTTCTTTTATTTCATTTTTTTTTGTTAAAATTACATTTCTTATTAAGATTTGTGTGGCAGGTCATAAATTAGCATAAAGTTTTGGCAGTGATAATATAACCCATCCTTGTTGATTTAGGAAAGAAATGAATGGCAGCAAGTTTAAAGAAATTTAAGAGGTATTTATAAATATTGACTTTTATACCAATTTATATGGCTTTGTTCTGCGAAATGCTGTTTCGAAATAATTCCTTTAACCGTTTGTTCGATTGCTTGGAAAAAATGGCCTATAAACTCGTATAAAAATAGTTTTTTAAGCACTTTGGACTGCGGGACAATAAAATTCATTTTTTGGTAGCACAACCCAAACATGCAGTTACCAGATTTTAAACAATTTTAAACCACAAAAAAAAGAATGTAAAAAGAAAAAGCAAAAGAAAACTTTGCAATGGAATATAAATGGAAAGAATATTTACAAAAAGAAGGTAAACTGCACGAAATGAACGAGTGTGAAATGCAAATGAAAAACCCAGAGACCAAATAAATAATTTCCAACATTTACTTGTATTTGCAAATGTTAAATAAGTTATCAACGGTGCATCAATATTTCATGGGGCTTCTCTCTATGACTTTAACTACTCACGATTCATTACGAACGGGTGTTGAGTTTACAGGGAGGGAAAGACCTTTTGGAGGGGGAAATGCAAACAATGCAAAACCAAATAATCCACCCACAAATTGAAATCGTGGCTTGTTCGGCTATGTATGTGGCCGTGTCATTAGCATTATTACCTTTAACAAGTATTGAAGAGCCACCATTGTTTGCCACTTTCACAACGACGACGACGAGGATGGAATAGCGATGTTATTTTTTGTTTGTATGCAAATCGTTGGCCAACATACACGCAAATTCCCTGTTTAAGTTCAATCGAATTCAATTGTTGCAGCGCCACAGGAAACTGGAGTCACTTCTGTTTGCCAAAGCCCGCCCACACATCCCCTAATATTGGTATTGACGTTTTCAGAGCTGGATTGGACTTTGTCTGTTTCCAAACAGTTTTCGTCCACCGAAAGACAAGCGGGTTACAGGATATTCCAGAACAATACCAGGTTCATCTTTTAATGGACTTTAATTGTATGGATTTATCAGATAAAATTATGGGAAATTAAATTTCTTAAGTCTGATAAGGGAAGAAGTATACATTTTGCTTTTGCGGAGTTTTTTCCAAGTTAAAATAAAAATTCTTCAAAAATTCCAAAAATGTGAATAATATTTTTAGTCTTTATAATTTTGAGTAATTTGATATTTACTTCTAATAATCTGAATTCGCCTTGACTCCTTTAAATTCGCTTCGACTGATTTGAATTCGCTTTGCAGAATGTGGAAACTATGTTAGTCCTGGCTGTATAACAGTGTCTAAGCTTTCACATGGTTTGTGTCTTGGATAAGCAGCCGCTGCTGGTTTTGAATTTTTTTGGGACTTCTTTGGGACACTCGTAAATAATCATAAAATGATATCCTTAAAATCTATAAAACGCATACCGCTTCTATCTTCTGTCCTTACGATAACCTATATTGGCCTTCATCTTTGCTCTGAAACATTAAACCATTTGAAGGACACTCACTCACTCAGCATATAAATTGTTTATGCCATCCTAAAGATTCTTTACGACCCACGCTGCTCAGTGGTCATCAGCCATCCTAGCATTATCCTGGCCAAATGTCGAACTGAATCAGTGCTCGGGGAGAGTGACCCAGTTACTTGAAAATTGAATTTTTATTTTCAGCAAAACCAACGCTACGCCACGCGTTTTTATATCACAAATATCCTGGCAGGATGAGTGGTGGCCATCCTCATCAAAGGAGGCATAAAAGAAAAAATTTATCTCCCATGAAGAGCTGTGTATGTGTGTGTGTCAACCCTGGACCCATAGGGTTCCCCCATATCGTATTAATTCAATGGGAAGCCCCCAATCTGGCGGGGCTATGTTGTTGCCACTTAATGGAATTTGCCGCTTATGCGTTCCGCATGCCGCGCATTATCCTTTCTATGCCCGCCTGCCAGGATTCCACTGTTTCCTGTGAAACCGAAGCTTTTTGCCTTCTGCCTTTTGGTTGGTTGACAGCCTGCCTCGTTGCCTGACTGCCTGCCTGTTTGGCTAAAAGTTTTTCCTCAGCCGATTTCGGCGTTTTTCCTCTTTTGTCTTCCTTTGCCTGTTTTTCCTAGCGTTTTTCCTTTCAGTTTTCCCTTGCGTTTTTCTTGTTGCCTTTTTTGTGTTATTTGCTACTTCCCTAAGACTTTCGCACATATGTGGCTTTGTGCGTGCCTGTGTGTTTTGACTTTTAACCAGGATTTCTGGCGTGCCTTTGTCTAGTTTGTTGCGTCTGTTTAATTTGTGTACATTTAAGCTGGCTAAGCATGGCATTATATTCATTTCCACTTTGGTTTTTTGATTTTTTACCCCAGCTTTGATGCGGATAATTGGTGGGTTTACAATCCCAATAAGTCCTTAGGGAAGTACCAAAATATTTGAAATATTTGCGACTTTCTTATGTCAAATACAATTTCCCTTTCTAATTATCAGATTTGTGTTTCCCAGAATTCCTATTAGAGATTTTTGAAATGGGAAATTTTCAATTAGGAAATATGGCTTCGGTGTGTTCATTTGCCTAGCACTCAGGGAGTGAGTCCTTCCAGTTATCCCGCCCCAGTCCTGCTACTCTTTGCAAAGGCATTCTGAATGACAATTTGGTTTATTTTCTTCTACCTTTGGGCCGAGTTACATGGAAGAACAATAATGTGGTATTGTTGGATGCATTGGCATTCACCTGGTTTCTTTCATTCTGCGGAGTTCCAACTTCATACTCTGATGGTCGTTTTTTAAGGACCCACCTAAGCTTTTTACAGTTGCAAATCTTTGGCTCTCTGGAAATTTGCTATTTCATCCATTGTCCTGCTGCAGTTGAAAGCCGATCAGGATGCTGTTGACTGTATTGTGATTTTGTGGGAAGTGGCTTTGTTGTTTACAAAGTCTTTTGTCACAGGATCAGATGCTCTTTTAGGTATGCAGCTTTCTAGGGTTTTGGACCTATAGCGGAGCTTTTACAGTCCTTAAATTTCTTTTTTTTATGATTTTAAACTATTAGTCTTATGCTATTTATATTGCAATTTTAGAGGAGAGTCGAAATTTATACCCATAAAAAAATAATTAGCAATCAATTGACCGACAGTGTTACTTTCAAGCCCCTTTCTGCATTGGAATTTACTTTTTATGCAATGCCCACTCATCTGGACCAGAATCAATTTGCTGGAATTTCGGCCAGAAACGCGCACAATGGTGCGAAAAACAACGAAATAACCAGTGAGGCCATGAAAAGGCAATAGTTGTCGGCCATAAACGACAAACAGTAAGAATGTATTGTATTCGAGGGGCGGGGCAGCAAAGGCATGAAAGCCGCAGGGCAACACTTGTGGTTATATTACCCCTCTGTATAACAGTTATCCTCTATATAACAGTTAACTGTATATAACACTTAGAGCCTTCCCCAGGCGCATGCTAACAAGTGTTTGTTCCATTCATAAATCCTACTAACCCAGTAGCCTCCAAAGGACTCGCAGACGAACTGAACCGACTGACTACACGAAGTTGAGTTCACTGTTCTACGCATTTAGTACAACCCCTGTCGTGTCCTGATTTTAGTACACGACTCCTGTTGTCCTTTCCGATATCAATGGCATTTCAGTTGCACGCCGGTCCTTCAACAATGCAGACGTTCGCGGTAGCCAATCAGCTATAATTTTCAACTTCCTTAACGAAAGTAACACTAACTGATTAACGTGGAAAGTGTCGTGAAAATGTGAATGAAAATATTTAAAAACAAAGAAAATTCAAGGAAACTGAGAAGGAGAAAATTCGTTTAATTAAATAAAGGAAAAAATGTTTTTTAAGTCTCTGGGAGTTCTTTAAAGTGGACGCAACATATCCAAATAAATTCTTAAAAAAATCCTTTAAATAAAGTTTATATAAGATGAATATTATTATATAAAAAAATATTAATTAACTGTACAAAATTAATAACTTTTGGTAAGAAACAAAAGTAAAAGTCAAGCAAAGACAGCATTACGAAACTTAACTCGTCACGAAATGTCACAGCAAATGAAAAGTCAAACATCCTTTAAGCCACTAAATGTGAAAAACAAGCAATGAATAAAAATAAAAGTCCTAACAACTTATTCTTTATTTAGTGTAAGCCACTTGCTTTGACCCCTAATTAATTAAGTTGCTACTGCCGCCGCCGCTTAATAAATCTGAAGACGTCTCGCCAAACAAAAAGATAAATCTTTGCCGAGAGCCGAAACTAATTTCATTATCAAAATATAAACACAAAGTCTGGGCAGGTCAGACTTTGGGTAACCTTTCCTTTCTTTTTTTTACCCTGCTCTGTGGGTTGTAGATTTTTGGTTGATTCTGCTTTCAACCAACCAACCAACCAACAACAAAAAAAAAGGACAAAACAAATATTAATTAATACAACTTCTAAATAATTTTTGAGGGAAAAGTAAATTTTTCGCCGGACACTGAAAGATAAATCAGAGTACAGAAAAAGTTACACAA